GGGGATTTAGCTCAGTGGTTTCGCCGCCTGCTGCGCAAGCGCAAAGACCCAAGTTCGATCCCCAGTACCAAAAAAAAAAAAAAACCCAAGATATTGGTGCACAAAAAATGGGAAACTTTCAAAAAGCTGATCCTTTATCATAGTTTAAGATAATTCAGGCTAAGAGAAAATAGAGACATGATTTCAAAATCTCAAGAGAAAGTTGTTTCCAAACTAGCATTCTATACCCAACTAAACTTTCTACTAAATGTGAAAACAGCATGCATGTTTTATTATTGGAAGGGTTCCAGTTTAATTTAGTAATAGAAAGATTTTACTTTCTAAGGACACTTCATCAATATAAAGAAATAATCAAGAAACAGGAGGACACGGGATTCAGGAAGTAAGCAGCAACAGGAGAGAGAAGGAGAAAGCACCCAGAAAACTTGTGAAAGGTGGCTATAGGATGATCCACTGCCATGCAGCACACAGAGAGCAATTGTACATATTGAACAGTCATGCAACTGACCCATGGTTGGATGAGCAACATAAAATTCCTGCTGCTTGAAGTCACTACTTTAGAGTAGTGTTATGTGGTGCTACAGATGTACGGATGTAGGATTCTAGCTACTAAATTCTCATTAGCTACACTTTCAAGATTCATAAAGAGCAACAAGGAAATTTCTAAGTAATAAGACTATTATTTGGAAATATCAACATACATAGCCAAAGCTTTTGGAAGTGGGTGACTCTAGAGAATGAAAATGAGGTAGGGTGAGTTGTCAAAGAACTGCTATTGATAATTATCCTGGGGGACCTAGCTCGGTTTTAAATTATGTACAAGTAAGGCTTCCTTAAATGAAGTTGTTAATTTTATGGATTATGTTTTCAGAGCACAACCCAATAAATTAGAAATTATTAAGAAAATTACTGTAAGTAGATTTAATTGCTTGGTATTAAATTTTTCTTTAGTTTTTATCTTAGAGAAGGAACATAGCACATCATGTAGAAAGTACAGTCTGTGCTCCTACTAAGTGCTAGATATTATGCTTATTCTTAGAAGCATAAAGATTAATAAAACCCCCAGCCCAGGGCAACACATTAAAAAATAATCACTGCTCAATTGTTCAAGCACTAAGATAGCAGGACATGGAGTAAAAAGGTAGAAAAATAAGTAGATAAAAACTAAAATTAGTACTTACTATAAGCCAGGTTCTTTCTGATCACTTTATTAATTTTACATCATCTAATTCTTACAATGCTATGAATGGTCTCCATTTTACAGGCTGTCAGTTTCATTCACCCACGTCACAGCTAGTAAATGACGGAGCCTTTCTCTAAACTCTGGATCACAGCATTTAGCAACTTTACAGCTGAAGAACCCAGTAGAGGAACTCTTTTCTCTCTGCCCGGGGAAATGCTAATGGTCCTGAGTGATGAGAGATGGGTCACTAAAGAGAACTGAGAAGTGTATGAATCCTTAGGGAGAAATTAAGAAGTCACATGGTTCCTGACGATGGTACAGTGAAGAAAACCCAAGACAATGGGTGAAGGAGGAAAAATGGGTGAAGGCAGGGAAAGACAGTAGTCTTCATAGTTTTGAAGGGTAACACTGAACACAGCAGTTACGAAGGACAGAGAGACACATTAAGAGGATATTACGACAACCAACCCAAGCAAGGAATGCCAGGAACGCTATCGAAAGAAAGGCCATATAGGTTAGAAGCCAGGAGGGTGAATTTGAGAGAAGTTCAGTGCAGAAGTATGATAATGTGGCTTCTGAACAGCTGTGGCGCTGAAGGCGAAGGCTCGCAAGAAACGAAGGATAGTGACAAGTTTCTAGCTTGAGGCGGAAGAAATAGTCAGACAAAGTGTAGGCTTCAGGAGGAATCCAAGAAGCCCAGCTGGGTGGTGCTGAGTTTCAGTTGTTTAGGGACCGTGTAGGGATGACAGGACTATGAGGAAACAGAGCTTGCCTAAGCAGCTGAGGAGCACGGGGAGGCAGAGGCACTGGAATCATATTTGTACGTGGGAATCAAAGAATCTTTGAGGATGGAAGTCATTACTGTTTTCCTCAGTGTTTCTTCTTAGATTGGAACATTATAGTCTTCAATAATTGATGAGGTAAGACCTAAATACCATTGTTAAGAATATCTGTGATAATGCCTAAAAAAAAATGTATTTTTACAAATACTTCCACTTAGGGGCAATGCAATTTTGAGTGACTTCTATGCTACATGCAGGCTCATTAGATTAGAAATTATATAGAAAGGAAGAGTAGTTATGTTTTTACTAAAAATAAAGTGGTGAGTCCTATGAAAATAGGAAACAGGAGAAATCAAAGTAAGAGCAGAAATTGAGGAAGGAAGATAGCAAGAAGATAATTTGGAAGTACAAACATTTCATTCATTAATAAAATTAATTTAAAGGAGGGAGGAAGAAAGCAGAAATAAAGGAGATTTGATTGCTATGGAATACTGGGGAAAATATTCCAAGCTACCTATGAATATAGTTTTAATATGGAAAGAGATAAGAGTATGTACAATTAAAAAATAAAAACCTAGCTCTGTAAAAAGGAAAACAAGCTCAATTATAGGCAAATTAAGGGGAGGACCCACATACATTGAAGCTGCAAGCCCAGCTGTTGACACGACCTTTACAGGTGTTGTTTTCTCCAATAGGAACCCCATCCACACTGACTCGAACAGCGTAGGAATCTTCTGGCATTGCTCTGGAAGGTAAAAGAAGAACATATGAGGAATGCAATAGCTTTCATTTAGTATATTAATGAAAATACTACCCCAGACTATACCGTTTTTTTAAATAAAATTGCCTAAAATTCTAATAGATGTAGTTAAATTTCATTTTTTATTATGAAAGAAGAGGTCCACCCGAGTCACCCTGTATTGTGAATTCTAACATCCTGTGCACAGGCAAGGGCCTCCTCTGACTCTGCATATTGGTGCTTATTTAAAAAGGACAACAAATGAAATAACTGCAAACAATAGTCCTAATGTCACCTTGGTATATTTAGTTATTTCATGCCATTTTTAAAATCAAGTTAATCAAGCCTCCCCATTCAGCAAGCTTTTGCTGCTGGCAAATAGCCAGCAAGCCTGAAGCAGATGAAAGGCTTTGGAGCATATGGGCCTGTCTCTAAGGTTGATATTGAAAGTCGCAACTGAAAACTATTTAAAATATTTTTCCTAAGTTGCTAATAACATACATCAATTTAGGCTGATAGCAAAGAACTTGAAATGTCATGAAGCAAAATGATCGTCTTTAATCTTAATAGCAATGTGAAGATTTTTTAAAAAATCAAACTGGACGGGAAAGCATAATTTTGGTAATTTGAGGAAGATCATTATAATTTAATAGTAGTCATTTATCTCCTAAAAGAGCTCGATAATAATAATAATTCTAATAACATGAGAAAAAATATAGAATATACTTTTATCATACCAATATATGAAGAGTATTGCAATTGATTATAATAAAGGTCTAAAATAATGTAAAGATCGGGCAGTTAAAATAACTACTAACCAGAAGAATATTACTTATAACAGTAAAACTAATAGAAGTATTAAAATACCAATATGTATAACTGCTTTCTGGCATGATATTATTAAACATACTTTAAAACAGACCTCGTATAGCATGTAATTTGAGTTGAATGACTTGAATCTTTTTCTACATCACAAGCAATTGACTGGAAAGAAGAAACTAATTGTACACTGTTTCCCAGCTCAGCATTATCAACTCCATAGTTAAACTGGTTTGCCTGAGAAAAACCTGCAAAAACAAGAAAACTTAATTATTATTAATAGAATTCTATTTTCAGAGATCTAACAATTATAACTCATTATTAAATCATCAATAAATAAACAACAATGAATAGTAAGCAGTTAGCACATTTCATATTTACCACTATGATTGTAATTTGCTTTGGAAGCATAAGAATTGGCTTTTTAAATCCATTCATTCATGAAAGTATTATATTAGAATATGTACTGTATGTGGTGTATGTGATAAGGAAAACTCTTATTTTTTAAAAAGGCTGAAGAACTAGAAAGAATGAAGGAGAGGAATACTACTTCATAAGTGATGGGGTTTATACCTCAAGTTCCCATAAAACAGAATCTTCAAACATAATTTATTTAGGCAATGATCTTTTGGGGATAAAGGTAAATAAAATTTGAAGAAAGAAAAGGTAGGACTGGGTGTGGTAGTACACATGCCTGTAATCTCAGCACTCTGGGAGGCTGAGACAGGAGGATTGCAAGTTGTAGCCCAACCTGGGCAACTCAGAGACTTAGTGAGACCCTGTCTTAAAATAAAAAAGGCCAGGAATGTTGCTCAATGTGAAGGTCCTAGGTTCAATCTCCAGTACTTCAAGAAAAAGACAAACAAAGGAGAGAGAGAGAATGCGAGAGAAGAGAGGGAGAGCCAGAGAGAGAGAGGAAAAATGGAAGAAAGAGGAAGGAAAGAAGAAAAGGTGAGAGGGTGGGAGGAAAGGAGAAAGGAAGAGAGAGAGTGAGGGTGGGGAGACAGACAGACAGACAACAGACATAGAGAATGGGGACCACTGAGAATGCCTGGGGCTCAATTTTGCTGGGAATTACTAAGGAAAGTACAGAATGTTTCTCCAAATCAAAGAATGGCAAAGCAGGAAATAAGTTTTCCTGCAGTTTTGGGTTCCAATGCCTCAAGTCACTGTATCAGAGAAGACCTTGCACTGTTGACAGACATGTGTGAGAATTTGAAGCAAGAAGCATAGATTGAATCAAAGTGCCACAGCTGTGGCTAGAATTAGGGACAAGAAGAGGAAGTGAGGAAGGAAGCTTCCCCGCCGCCATCCCACACTTCTAGGGCAGAGAAGGTGAGCCACGTGGGCGCCAGAAGCACACCACCACCCCACCCCACCCCGCCATGGAAATGAGAAGACACATAAACAAGCCTCAAAAACAGACTTCTGGATCACCTACAGCAACCCCAAAGGGAAACGAGATGGAACAATCTGACACTCAACCACCTGGTCTCTCTGAACTGGCAACAAAAGAGGATCTGGGAAAAATGAAATCAGAAATAATTACTCAGGTAACAGCAAAGATTTTGCTCATGGTGCAAGACCTGATTAATAAATCTAGAGAGGACACAGATAAAAAAAAATAGAGGATCTGAGGAACATGATGGAATCTCAACATAGGAAACCAATGGAATCCATAAAACAGATGCAAACAGATCTCCAGGAGATTAAAAACACCATCGAAAGTCTGAGCAGCAGAATGAACCAATGTGAGGATAGAATTTCACATATAGAAAAAAAGATTGCAATTAGTGACCAGGAAAAGAACAGGAAGTGAGGCCGAGCACAGAAGGCACCTGATAGTCCACCACTTGGACCACACATATCTGTTTATACCCTACTTTTTAAGCACAATCCATCACTAGGCCTTCAAGGTGATGGTCAACTGAGAGCTCTGCTGAAGAGGGTTAATGTGGCAAGCTATAGGCCACACTGCTATAACTGGCCCCGAGTCTATAGTTCATATTCACCATGCCCCTTTTCTGTCATCCATTGTAGATTTCCCTTACCCTTAGCCAGCACTGTGGCTAATGGGGTCACACTGGCCCTTATCTCTGACAGATCTGAACCAGTGATTGCTTTGCCTGTGTTGGCTTGTGGTTGCTACAACTGCCTAGTTGTAGTTATCACTGAACCTGGAAGGCAAATGATAGCCCCACAGGTACCTGGAATCCCAGGCATTTGCCTCCCTACCTGCATCAAATAAAAACATGACTCTTGCATGATAAGTAGAATTGATATCCACCATAGGATACTAAATATGCTTGCTGAGTTCACATTAATTAGGTAATAGCAGTATTTCAGCTCAGTTTACCATCCATATTATGATCCCTGGGGGAAGCATTTTCTACCTGGAAACTCATTCCGCAAATCTAGCATAACTTAAAAATGAAAGGACAGATAGCACAAATTCTGTGTCGGGATCACCAGGAGTGATGGTAAAGAGGAGCAACCCTTTATTTCCAGTTCCAGGCATCCTTTATAATGGGAAACGACAGAATATGTCTGCCACTGGTTCAGGGCACATGCTATACGACAGAGGACAGCAGGTTATTCCTGGGGTGTTGTTCCAGGCTGGCATCTTAGCCATGGCTTGAGCAGTCTTCTTCCATCATCCTGCTAGTTCGGATGTTTCAGAGTGACACAGGTTTCACGGTCATGTGCCCATTAACACAACTTTTTTCACTATAAAGTGATTTTCTTGTTCTGAGTCAATACTCTGTGGAGCCCCATGGCAACAAATCAGGCTCTGCGAGCTTTCTCAGGTCATGGTGCTTGCAGAGGCACTGTGGAAAGAGAAGGCAAAGCCCATTTTCGGAGTAGGAGTCAGTTTCAGTAACAAGGAATCTCTGCTCTCTATGAAAGAAGGGGAGGGACGCAGTCAACTTGTCACTAAATAACTGCTGGGCTTTGTGGGAGTGGTACCCCCTGAGAGTTCAGTGTGGGTCTCTGCTACTGTCAAGTCAGGTGGTAGTGTAGCTTCAGTGAAAGTGAGTCCATGCTATTGGCCCATTCCCAGCCTCCTCCCTGTGACCACTTTCTACGGGCCAACCACACAGCATTGATCTGGCCACGGAGACAGGCACCTGGATGTGTCATCTAATCAATCTGCTTATTCCACTCCCCTGTAGGGGACGCTTCCTATGGGAGGTAACTAAAGATACGTAGATCTGCATGTTTTGTTCTCATGACCACGAGTCCCTTTACCTACCTTTTCCCAACACTTTCTTGGTTCTTCTGATTCTGTTCCTTTTAGTCGTCTACCCCTGCCTAGGACCCCATGTACAGCCAGCCTTTCCTTGAACCACTTTTCCCTCCTTACAAAGTTACTGCCTGTGTATACTGCACACAGCTCTTCCCATCAAGAAGGCTGACGTGGAAAGTGAGTTAAGAGTCCAGAGACACTCTGTAGCATTGATGACGAAAATCAGAGGTGGCGCCATAAAGATGTGAAGTGAGGGCTGGGATTTAGCTCAGTGGTGCCACTGCCTGGCTTCCAAGTGCAAGGTCCCGAGTTCGATACCCAGTACCAAAAGAAAAACAAGATGTGAAGTGAGACACAAGAGGTATATCGTATAGGTGGTCATGGAAAGGGAGCGAGCCATGAAAGTATCTGAGGCAAGAGTATTTTAGAAAAAGGAAACAGAAGAACTGAGGCCCTGTGTTGGGACCATGTCTATGGATCCAAGTCCATAGAGAGGAAATATGGCAGAGAGGTAAAGGAGACCAGAAGTGGAGAAATTTAGATTATTTTTTTGTGGGGGGAATCACTGGAGGCTTTGAAACAGAGGAAAAGCAGGATCTGACTTATACTCTCCAAGGTTCACTAGCTGCTGTTCTGAGAAGAGACCAGGAGCAAGAGTGAAGACGCTTCTCAGTGAGCAATGGAGAAAATGATGGGATCAGTGTTTGGCCAGACTTCAATAAAAGATGGAAGAACCATACATAAGGGGAATAAGTATTGGTAATATTTTCCAGGAATATCACTGTACAGAGAAGCAGAGAATTGAGGGGGTAGCTAGCTAGAGAGGAGGGTTAATTGAAAGGAAGGTTAATTGAAAGGAAGGTTAATAATGTTGCTTTTATTTGGGGGACTAACAGCTTGTGAGCATACTGACAGGTATGACCTAATAGAATGTGACAAATAGATAATGGAAAACAGAAGACAATTATTTTACTCTTACCATAAATATGTGAAAATTCAAAACTATATTTAGAAGTAATTAAACATAAATGATTTTGTGCCACATAATATTTTATATCTTTAAAAAATATTCAATTTTGAATTAAACCCAAGAAATAAAACATACAAATAAGGTTAACTGGATAATAGTCTATTCATAAAACCCTACAATTAAATATTCTATTCAAATACATGAGATACTATTCTGTTATGCAACATGAAATACACACACCTGTTCAATTATTGTAAAGTTAAACTACTCAACAGTTTTTTTAGGTTATAAGGGATTACTTTAAAATTTAAATTTCCTAAATCCTGAGCTTTAAAAATATATGCATTTAAAAATATTTTTCTATGAATATCACAGAAGCTTAACCCTAAAATAACAGTATGGACAAATTGATGACTAACACTATTTTGAAACTGAAGATTTTCTTTGACAATAAAACATTTGCATCAATGTTATTAATGTAAATTTATAACCCATTTAACTTTTAGAATGTAATTACTACCTACAGATCATATAATCCTACAGTATAAACAACTCAACATCAGTAAACAAAAGAAATGGTAAATGCAGAGATGTAGATTTACCTCTTTAATTCCCATGTATAATACTATTTATAATACTATAAAAATACTTATAACAGAAATGTTTTATTTACAATGCTTTCAGAAAAAGATAACTATTTGAAAGTACTCATGTTTACCCTTAAAATGTTAGTAGTTTCCAAAAACATTTCAACAGAACACTCTTTACTACAATGTATTTCCATATTAAATGGTTTTAGTGGATAAAGGGGCAGAATGGAGCTGCAGTACAATTGTGGTACAACTCCTTTTTGAGTTACTGCACATTTCCAATGTTTTGCAAAGGTCCGTAACGTAATACATACATACAGATAATGTAAATACATATAGCTGAGTTTAGAGTAGGACTGAAGGTAGGATTTCACTGTACCAAATGCTCATCAAATAGCAAAGCCCCTATACTCCAACTCTGGTGAAGCCCCTGTCCACGCC